ATGAATGTATGAGGTGATTGCCGCAGATCAAGATCCAAATGAGTTAAATTAATTAAACCACCGCTCTTGGTCCATTAGTTAGTAATGAATAAGAAGAAGGGAATGTATGAGGAATTTATTAGCAAGCGGCAGATAGTAGAGAGCAATAAATAAATAAACACGTTTCCCTCAGGAAATAAAGAGAGTTTTTTCGATATTAGTATCCGTTTTTTACCGTTAAATTAATTAAAATCATATTTAAGAAAAAAAATATGTTGAATAGATAATTTTTAATATAAATTAAATAATTAAAAATAAAAGACTTTTTGATATTTATTTTTTAAGAACATACCAGAAAATAAAAAAAAAACATGATTTCTGGATTTAAAATTAAAAAAAAAAAAGTTGCGACAAAAGAATGTAATAAAAAAGTGGGTAGGTGAAGTCTAGAACCGCGGGGGTATGTATGTTCCATATTTCTTGCTTCGGACCGCAAAACATGTTTTAATGTACTTTTGCACCATCCGCTCCCCCCTCTCTCTCTCTCTCTCTCTCTCTCTCTCTCTCTCTCTCTCTCTCTCTCTCACATGCCCAATAAGACCTTGGTATGAATCAATCAATGTTCAGAGATTCTACTACAAAAAAAAAAAAAAAAGTTCAAAGATTCTAAAAAAAAAAGAAATCAATGTTCCCAGGAAAGGAAGGCTAGAGAATAAAAACCCAATTTTCATATTAGCAAACCAAAAAAAAAAAAAAAGCAATTTGCATTTGATTCAAACACTTCAAACTATTGGGGTGGTTGTTGTAGTAATGTATGTTTTTGAGATGTTAACAAAATGAAAATGGTGTAAAAATTAGGGAAATTTTTACCGTCGAGAGTAAAAGTTTCATGAATCATAATAATACAAGTACAAAGAAAAAATAGAGATATTCTTCTTTTTTAAATTTTATAGTGGAGAAAGTTATTTTACTTTATGAGTAAAAATTATTGTTTTTAATTATTAAATTAGTTTTTTGAAAGTTAAATTTGTATATATTTACATTAAAATTTACAACGTGTAATACAGAACTACTCATACTCTAATCAGACTATTGAAAAGCTGATTAAAAGAAGATTTTATTTTTGGTCTTAAAAAATTCACTCAACTAAACAAATTGCTATTTATTTTATGTTTTTAAATTGCAAATTATATATATAGTTTTAAGACATAATCAAAAAAATTTCTAAAACACAAATTGCTATTTATTTTATGTTTCTAAATGGTAAATTATACATAGTTTTAAGACATAATAAAAAATATTTCTAAAACACAGTTAGAACTACCAATTTAATGTTTTGCTTAAAAGACTATTGGTTGGAAAACACAAAAAAAGTAAATCACAAAAAAATGAGCCATAAAAATACTAAATTACAAATAGAGACTTGCTCTAGTATTCTCTTTTTTTTAGAGACACCGGTGTTTCTTACTTTTCAGCCATCAAATCTGTATCAGAATTTGTCTGTTTTGTATACTTTTTAAATTTGATGTGATTTTGTTCAGATTTAATAGCTAAAAAAAGTAGAGAATACCAGTGTTCCCAAAAAGGAGGGAACACCAGAGAAACTCCCAAACAAATATTTGTTCTCAAGAGACATCGTCTTTTTATTTTAGTATATTGTCATAAAACTATACAACAACCAATAATATGGAGATTATTTATTGGAAGTTTCTCCGGTGTTCCTTCTCTTTTGGGAACACTGGTGTTCTCTGCTTTTTTAGTCGTTAAATCTGGTCAAAGTCACATCAGATTGAAAAAGTATGCAGAACAAACATATTTTGATACATATCTGACGGTTGAATAGTAAGAAACACCAGTATTCATAAAATGTAATAAACACCGGAGAAAGTCCTTTATTTATATAAGAAAAAAGAACAATAAATCTAAACATTAAAAAAGACATATTATCATTCATTTATTATTATATTTTTCCTATTTACAACACCATTTCCTTTTTTTTATTTTATGTAGAGGATTCTACATAAATACTAGAAATATGTTAAAAATAAAGAAAGATAAAGGGATTTTTTAATTACTGTTTTAACTGTTAAATTAAACTAAACATAGATTTTAACATATTCAAATATGTTGTCCAATTTTTGATATTTTAATTGGTGTCAAACCAACTAAATCATATCACATCATTCTATGTTAAACACAAAAGAGTAAATTAAAAAATAATCTAAATTTTTCACATGACGTGACATGATTTGATTGTTTAGGTACTAATTAAAACACTAAAATTAGATAGTAAATTTGAGTTTAATTTTAACCGTTGGATAAAACAAAAAAATATATATCAAATTAAATAAAAGACAACAAAATCTAATAAAAATTTGATACTTAAATTAAAATAATATCCTTATAATATTTGTTTATTGTATGAGTAAAACAAAACTATTTTTAAAAAATTTAATAAATAACCATTTTGACCAACTTTGTTAATAATTGGCCAAAATTTTTAAATTTTAGCAAAATAAACGAACTTTTTACTTTTTAAGAAAATAATTGTTTTCTGTATTAATTAATTAGTGATAAATTATAATTAAGAAGAAAGGAGACAAATACTCCTTAAAATATATAAGTTTAAATTTTTACCATTTACTCTTGATTAATATTCTTTTTAGTTAAATGATTATATTAGTCAAAAAGGTATTACTCAAGAGTAAATAGTAAAATCCAGACTCGTGCAATTTAAGATAAGTTCAATAATTTTTTCCATAATAATAATGAAGTATTAATAAATATTATTAATCGGTAATAAATCATGATTAATTAATATCAAATCACAATTAATTGACAAAATGAATCAATATCAAACTAAAATTAACAAGAAATTAATTATTTTTCTAATTTTATAAAACTTCGACCATTCATAGAAAACACCTCTTAAAAAGGGAATTTACAAATTCCTTTTATTTTTTCTATCCTATCTTTAAAAAAAAAAAGGGACTATTTCTACCGGTAGGACCAATTTTCTAATTGTTGGATATAATTAAAATCAAATGAGATTAAAATAGTATGCAGAACATGCAATTTTTGATATAGATTTAACGGCTAAAAAAATAAAGGATTAATTTCAAAAATTTCTCCCGAACTATGACCCTTTTAACACTTTGCCCCCCGAATTTTAAAAAGTAACATCTGTTCCCCTCAAACTTTGTTCTATCAACAAGTTTTATTCTTCTGGTATAATGAGTGACGAAATTACCACGTGTCACTTATTTAGTGAGAATTGAAAGCATAATTACGTTTATACCCTCCTAATCAAATAATTCCTCATTTTTAAAATTATATATAATTCTTTTCTCTTTTCATTTTCATTTTTTTTTGGCTTTCATTGTTATCATTACATCAAAAAAATGGAAGATCGTGAGATCTTCTCCACCTTCAAGGAGTGTGCCTTCCATGCATATAAAGTAGCTTCACACATGAGTATTATACCCAAACAAATCATACAACTCCAAAAAACTAATGTCTTGACCTTATGAAAAAACCATATGATTAAAGAACAAACGAAATACTCAAAATATTCTACCTCATTTTTCCGTAATTTCTCACCAGCCAAACAAAACAAAGGATAGATGTTAGAGAGAGAAAATGAACCAGGCCACATTGGTCTAATCTCGGAGAACTAGCCGGGGATGACGGCGGAGATAGAGTTGGGGACTTTGGCGGCAGTATCCATGGGAATGCTGTGTGTAGAGCCAACAACAAACTCTTCTACCATGGATTTCCTTTTGTTTCTCTATCAAAACCTAAGCTTTGGAAATGAGAGGTTCTGATCTTGGTTTTGATTTGTGGGAGATTAGTCTATGTGTTAAAATGGGTTTTTTTAACGCATTTGAGTTTTTTAATAGTTTTTTCAATAATTTAGGGCTGTTATAGGTTAATTTACGATAATATCATTTTCAAATAAGTCAGATATTTGATACGTAGTGATTTATATAACTCATTATAATAAAAAGATAAAATTTATTAATGGAATAAAATTTAAAAAGATGTTACTTTTTAAAATTTAAGAAATAAAATATTAAAAAAATTATAATTCAAGAAAATTTTTTAAAATTAATCAAAAATTAAAACTATCAATAATTTTATTTTTTTATTGCAGAAAGAAACTCCTAAAAAAGAAAAAATGAAAAACAATTTAGCTGACGTGGTTGTTCTCTCTCTGGATCCTATATGGCAAGGCAAGTGGCCCTTTTGTTTTGTTTTCGGACAAAAATCAAATAAATATAATAGCGGAAGAGAGTCCGGTAGCTGTCATGCGCACCAGCTCACTTTTCTCAGTCTTCCCTTCCTCGCTTTCTTTCTTTCCTTTTCTTCTCTCTCTCTGCTGCGTTTATTTCTTTCTCTGTCTTTCCATTATAAAAAAAAAAAAAGACTTTTCTTATACGGGTATATCTCTTCTTTTTCTATTGTGGGAAAACCACGCTTTGTTGTACATTATACAAGAACCAAGAAATAGCCCATCAAAACGAGCAACAACAACAACAACAACAAATAAACAAGCAAAAAAAAAAAAAAAAAACTGGGTCCTACACGAATACCCTGTTTCTTGCGCAAATTTCAACCTAGAAAACGTGGCTTACGAATTACCCATTACCCCACTCCTGTTTTTTCATGTTTTTGTTTGCCCTTTTCTTTGTAAGATGGTTTTGAGTTCTGTTTAGTTTCTCTCTCTCCCCTGGTTTCTCTCTCTAGAATGATGTCTAAAACGGTTGCACTTAAAACCTTTTCTTGAAAGGAGAAAAAGAGAGTCTTGGAAGGAACCTAGTATTACAGCAGCATTAGTATTAGTAGTGGTGCTTAAATGCTTATCTTTTCTTTCTTTTGTTTTCTTTGTTCATCCATGTGCTTAGCCTACTACTAAACGTAGTTGGTATTCTTTTTTCTTTTTTGGCCTTTTGTTGACCTTTCAGACTTTTTATTCTTATTATTTTTATTTTCATTTGAGAGAAAAAAAGGAAATAAAAAAAGCTCAAAATTTAAGGAGTAAAAGGGGAAAAAAATAGTATTCTTTTGTTGGGTTTATTCTGAACCAGCTGCTTCTCTCCAGGCTTCTTCAGCTTTGCTTCATTGGTGTTTGTGTTCTTCTTCTTGTTCTTGTTCTTCTTCTTCTGGGTTTTTGATCTTCTTTTTGTGACAATTGGGTTCTTCTCCTTGGATCCTCTTCTTCAGGTAATATAAAAAAAAGTTTCCTTTACTTTTCTTCTCCTTCTAATTCTTATGTTTCTCCTGCCTTTTCATGCTTCTTAGTTGTTACTTTTTTTTTAAAATTATTATTTGTTTATTATTAGTGGTTTTTATAAGCGTACTTTGTGCTTTTAGTTGCACTTTTTTCAATATTTACTTGGATTTTATGTTTTCTGTGGTTGATTATTTAAATGGGGGTATGATGATGTAGAAAAGATTGCATCTTTTTTGGTGTACTGTTCTTCTTTCCCATTTTTTGTAAAGATGTTTTTTTTTTCTTCCTCTTTTTTATCGAAGAGTTGGGAAGAAGTGAATTTTACTTTTACTTTTCACTTGCTAGACTTGTGTCTTAGTTAATCTAGGTGGGTTTTGCTATTTTCATTTTGTTTACACCTCAAAGCTCTCAAGTAATCTGAGCAAGTTCTGAAATGTTTACATGAGTATAGGCAACAAAGATTGTGCTTTTCTTTTGAGTCATGTAAATTTGGGGTTTTTTTCCTTTAAATTTTATTTTGATGTCTTTCTTTGCTCATATTTGCACATATTTCCAATAATGGGATTTTTCTGTTAACTATCCTGTTTAAATTTGCAAATCTTTGATTTGCTCACCAATCATTTCACAATCATGACTTCTTATCCTATTTTTTCCTGATCCAAATTAGGAGTAGAATCATTTTGTCATCAAGAGATACCAATTAAAAGTACCTAGTTTTCGTATCCATTATTAGTTGCAGCATCAATAAGTAGTTTATTATCTTTGTGTTTCTTTTTAGCTTCTGAAAGTGCCCATCTCCATTGGTTTCTTGTCACAAGAGTTCTTATTGACATTCTGATGGCAGATTTTCAGTCTTCCTATTCCAGCATGTTATTCTGCATTTTTCTCTTTTATGGCTTTTGCGCTTACAATTTATTTCTCTTTTCCAGGTTCATACAATTAGCCTGGCCAGAGTGATTTTCCGACATTTTTGTATTCTTCTTCTTTTTGGAGGCAAAAGATGGAGAACTAGAACTAGAAGTTCTCTGTTTTGGTGTATATTACTTACTTGGCAAAAAGATGGCTAACAAATTGGCAAATGCTGAGAACAATAGCCAAGGGAACAATGAGGATTCACTAGATGGTTTGGGGGAGGCCAAAGAATTGTCAGGTGAGGGTGATTTTAATATTACCGAGTCAAAATCGAAAAGGTTAATCAGATGGGCAAATCCTCAGCAAGACTTGATTTTAAGTGTTAAGTATTCACATATTGGTAAAAGTGGCACTAAGGACCCTTTCTTCAAAAATGCTCAAGGTTTAGATTATAGGATTCCCAAACGTATGGTTAGTGTAGACGAGAAGTATCTCCGTCGTTGCTTGGAATTAATTCATTTTAGAGCTTCGAGAACAGCTCGAGGCAACGTGTCTGTGAATGTGAGCTCTGAGAAGAGGAATGGAGAGGTGTTTGATTCGCCTAGCTTGGTGTTTGAGTGTCCCACGGTAGCCGAGACTGGGAGTGTAGTCATAAGCCCTGCAGGGGCAGGGCAGTGGATTTTGGGTTCAGTCATGGGCAGCAAGAGTATGAAGAATATCTTGAACAGCCCTTTGCTTCAACATTATGGAGCATTAGATAGCAATGCAAACTTGACAAGGATAAATTCTAATGATGTCAATGATTCAATTTGCTTTGATTTCATGGAATCTCCTAGTGCTTTAAGTCTCTCTTCGACGTTGAAGCTAGACATGGGCACACCAATCAGGGAAAGGCACAAATATGGAATTGATATCGGGCACAAAAGGCTTCTTTCTGTGTCGAGCACGAACTCCCTATTTTCGGATCTAATTTGTTCTTCGGCTTCTACCACTATTAATCAGGGGATGCTCCAATGTACATGGAAGGATGGAAATCCTCATTTTGTTTTCTCCACAGATGACCAGAAGGACGTCTATGTAGCGAATTTATGGAAAGTTGAGTCGAAGGAGGAAAAGGCTTTAGACTATGTATACTTGTTTCATTCAGGAAAGAGTGGCCATAAGGACCATGAGATTTGTGATGGTCATTCTCGCCTTGTTGGTAAGATGAAGGTGTCCAATTCTTTCACACTCTGCCCAAACGATTCGAAGATCTTGGAGACTGAGTTTGTTTTGTTTAGTGGTAGTGAAAGTTATGTAACAGATATGCCGACTTCAAGCCATCAACTGAGGAAGAGTAGAGGTTTATCAAGGAAAGTGGCGGAAGTATTTAGGACTAGCCATTCTGCCAAGCATAAAACCATCTCGAAGTTTAGTGGGCACCACACAATACTGGAAGAAAGTTGCATTCCAGAGACATGCATAGATACATGTGACAATCTCGACTCGGCTGGGGAACTGACTTTGTTAGACGATCATCCTCCTCCAAATCTTGAAGTGGCTGCGATTATCGTGAAAGACCATGTCCCTGACACTCAAAAGCAGGAAGATGGTGGTTGGGGCTTGAAGTTTCTCAAGAAAGTTGGGGTAAAAAAATCCACTAAATCTGCAGAGGCCTCTCTACCTGTCAACTGTCATCGAAGTAATGGTGATTGTTCTATGAGTATGGATATTCTAATCCCGGCAGGTCTACATGGTGGGCCGAGAACCAGAAATGGTGGTCCTTCCAGTCTCATAGAGAGATGGAAATCTGGTGGGCATTGTGACTGTGGTGGTTGGGACATGGGTTGTCCTCTCACAGTGCTTAAACCCAGATCAAGCAACGATGAAGACTTGCCCCATATCCAAGAAGAGTGCAAGTCATTCGATTTAATTACACAGGTGAGTCACATCCTTCTTATAAATTGTGTATTTGTCTTAAAAATACCATGGAGGTTCATCGAGTTCTAAAAATCTGCTAACAAGCATATATTTGCAAAATTTATGCGTTTTGGCCTTAGTGCTCATGTCAAATTGTGCAATCTATGTTCCAAGGTAGTTGTTCGTCAGATTACGCAATTTGTGCATTTTGTTCCAATTTATATCAAGTTACAGGTAGAGCAATGATTCGCATCATGAAAATTTTATCATGAATGCACACACTTCAAAATAATGTGGAATCTGTAAAACTGAAATTATTGTGTCGTCCCAACTCTCTCCTTTTTTTTTTTTTTTTTTAAACAGCTAACAAGTTGTATTTTAGCTTCATGATGTGTCTTAGAATCGTCTTTTCAAGATGGGTATCGTTTCCCTCTGTGAGTAGTCTATCATCTTCTCTTGGTGTTGAATGACTTTTTCCTATTCACCTTTGAGTCACTATGACACTCATGTACCTTCCGCGAATAGTTTAGCACATCTTCTCTTGGTGTTGATGACTTTTTCCTATTCACCTTTGAGTCACTATGGGCCCGTTTGGAAAGTATACTCAAACCATGATTCTTGATTCTGATGTTTGAAATTCAAATTTTTTGTGAGAGGAAAACACTATAGCAGAATCAATAATTAGAGTTTGAGTATATGAAACAAATGGGCCCTATGCGATTATTATTTGCTTGAACAATATGACATGAGTATATATTTGAGATGACACGTTTTCTCTAATTTTTCAGGGTTCACAGAATGGCGTTCCGACATTGAGGATTGTGAATGTGCAGGATGGTTTGTATTTTATTCATTTTCAACGAACTATGTCCGTTCTGCAGTCTTTCTCGATCGCAGTAGCGATAATCCATACACGGAGTCCCTCTCTGCGGCCCAAAGATGGAAATGAATTGAAATAGCAAGATCAAGGTTGAAGTTCTTCCTGATATTGTATTTCTTTTACTGTATTACACCTGTAAGTCACGATATAGGCATTTATACTAAGATTTATATGATTTTGGCAATGTTTTGTGGTTGTCTGTTATTCGGGTATCAGACAACTTTCTTGTTTTGTTTGTACTGATTGTGCTTTTTGTCATTTGATTCTTAGATCAAATGTTACCTTTTGTCTATTCCCTTTTTAGTGAATGTAAAAGCTTTTGACATTGTTACACTGATACCAGATCAATATCATGGCAATTAAAACACTTTTGAATCTCTATTCTTTTAATTCACTTGATTCTATTGGCATGTGTATACAAATAGAAAATTGATCAAATTGATGATCCATGGTTCTTCCAAGTCCTTGACTCTAAAGTGCCGATATGAGGATCTTTTACGTGAGCAACTGCACATGGAGAAAAAGAAAAGGTGCTTATCATACCAGTTCTGTTTCTTTTTATTTTCTTTTTGTTCTTTTGTCCATAAGAACCACTTTTGTATTCTTGTTCTCTCGTCACTGATGTAATGCATAATTCTGAGGTAGAAAATTATACTTGCCATTATGAATTCTCTGGTGCAGATTTTGTCCTACAATGTGCCGATACATGCATAAATCAGGAAATTCAAAGGGATGGTTAGACTTAGGATCTATCTAAGGCAGTCTCCCGTTTTCGTCTTGGCCAACCTACGTGTACCTGACTGAGAAGTTAGACATGCTTGCTTTATTCACCACGAACTTTTACGCACTTATCTTCTTACATGATGCGAACAAAAGTAAGTTTCCCTCAATCTTTGCCTGTTCATTTTTCTCCTTTTTTTGTCCATCTCTAATCTGTCAAGATTTTAGCTAGAAGGCTAAGCTTTGATCATATAGAATAATAACATTACTTTATGTTGCAGCCATTCCTCCAACAGGCGAGTTGCAAAGTCGATCATATAGAATAGAGAAGAGTACTTTTACACGAACGTTGGCAAAAGCAACCTCAGTCGTCAGTGTTGAAGAGCAATGTTACTCCCAGGCAATCCCAAAAACCAAAACAAAGCTGCCATCTGGTCTGCGGCCGATACCTATGGCAGTCACCATCTCAGCTGCTTGTTTTCCCTGTGATGTTGCCATCTTTGGTGGCACAAATAATTCGACTTATTTACATCCAGATCATGAATGTTTTGCATCAATGTTATGCAAGTGGACAATGCTGCTATATATAAGGAGTTACACCATTATCTTAGATGCTAATCTCAATTTTGAAAAATTTGAGGAGGAAAGACGGACCATGTGGAAAACTGGATTTTACATTTTGTAATCGTCTGAAGTCATCTGTTTGAGTCCCAGTTTTTGGATGTCATTATGCGTATATTTTTGCTTTTGTTGTTTTCCCAATCTGACGTGGAACACCAAAAGTGAAAAGTTCGTGATGGAAATGGCCTACTTTGGTGCCCGCCAAACCTCTCTAAATGCTTAGAGATAAGTTGTAGCGTTTTTAATTTTTGGGCCCGTTTAGTTCGCTGATTCTAAGTTAGATGTGACTATTTTTTAAAATTTTTACTGTAAGCCAAACCTCTCTAAATGCTTAGAGATAAGTTGTAGCGTTTTTAATTTTTAGGCCCGTTTAGTTCGCTGATTCTAAGTTAGATGTGACTATTTTTTAAAATTTTTACTGTAGCAAAACTCGAATTGGAGTGATTTGGATTTAGTTATGAAACGTCTAAAATGGACTGAAAAGGGTATTTGAGACAATAGCATATTTGGTGATGAATGTAGACATAACGATTAGAATTTATAATAGTTAACTCTTGAATGAGTTACCTCTATTGTTGGGTTGTTCACTATCTTCAATTGGAAGGTTACAAGGTTGTTTGAGTACAATATGTCTAAAGGAATTTCTGCAGAGTAACAGTAAGTAAAATAACATAAGGTTCTCTCCTCAAGGGTGTTGTTATTCTATTTATATAGGTCAGATGAGATGGTTTCCTTGGCAATTACCACTCTTCTCTCCTGTCATGAAAAAGCCATGAAGCAACGGTATAAGTTAGACCTCGTTCATTTCACCGATTCGAGTTTTTAATTTTAAATTTCTACAGTTAAAAGTTATCAAAAAATATCATATCTAATTTTTTCTATTACAGTTAAAAACTCTTAGAAAATATCACATTTCAACCCAAATTAAAAACTTAAATTCACAAAGTGAACAAGGCCTTAGTAGGCGGTTACTGTGTATTCATTGCCCATGGTCTCTTAGTAACTTTCATGGTGTTAAAGTATAAAACTATTGTTAGCTCACCTCCTAATAGCTTAAGCTTTTGGGATGGATTGGTAAACTAACATGGTATCAGAGTGGGAGGTCCTGAGTTCAAATACCCGTAATTGCACTCTTTATCCCAATTTAAAATTATCATGTGTTGGGTCTTTAATATATCTCGGGCTTAAATATTCACGTGCTGGGCTTTCCAATTAATTTACCCACACGATTGTCAATTGTCCAGCCCACACGTGAGGAGGAGTGTTAAAGTATAAAACTATTGTTAGCTTACCTCCTAACAGCTTAAGCTTTTGGGATGGATTGGTAAACTAACACATGGTAGATAGGTATAAGTAAAAGTATGAATGGTTCCGTAAAGTTTAACAAGGGCTTCCTTAATGTATTTCTCTTAGGTGGTAAGCGAGTATGTTTATTAACTTAGAGCGACGAATAGCGGCTACTAATCAACATTCAATGTACTATGAATACTTAGGGGTTGTTCTTTTGTAATAAAACTCAGAAAAAATTTAAACTCAAGTTACAATTTTATTCAAGTTTACGTTCTTTTAAGTTTTAACTTTATTTAACTTTACTCAACTTTATTCAAGTTACAACTTTAACTCAAATTATAACTCAAATTCAATTAAAAAATTACGCTCAAGTTACACTTGAAAAGAACAACCCTTTAATGTTTGATTGCTTTGATGACCACAAACCATGTGATATCTTTAGCCTGCTTAGTGGTAACCGACTAGTGGTACTCGATTTATCGAGATGTGTGACGAGTAAACTTATAGGTGACCATCGAGTACTCGAACGGGTGACTATTAAGTTTTAGCCGTTAACATGGCTAGGTGATTGATGAGAATCAACAGCCGAGTAATGAGTAAGGCGACAACGTCCTTAGCATGGAGCAAGTAGTGAATAATTACCGACTATCCCGAATTGTCAGCGACTTGGTACCATGTGTAAGATTATGATCGGTAAACGAAGTCGAACCCCAACAATGAATGAAGAGGACATTAAATGAAAAATGCATATTAGAATTCCTCCCCTCATTAGGGAAAAAAGGGAAAAAAAGCTTGAGCATTTGTTTTTTCTTAACTGGCGTGGTGTCATTATTTATTTATTTATTTTTTTAAGAAAAGGGTAATACTTTTTAGCTAAAAAAAAAAGAATGTATGCTTTCAAGAAAATACAAAAATATAAAATAATTACCTATTTTCTTCAAAATTGACATTATTTTAACTTAAAAAAAACTCTAAGAAAGGAAAATTCCTTCTTGACAAAAAAAAGAGAAAAATTTCTTAAAAAAAAGCACGAAAGGAATTAAATGTTTCTTATTTTTTCTTTTAAAAAATGAAAATTGTTTTTTTATGAGTGCTATTGGGTAGCAAGTTGCTATATGTCGGCCCTATAACCTCAGAAAAGGCCCAAACTTTTCAAAGCCCAGTACCTATGTTAAAACCCTAGATCTGCAAACGCTCCCTATAAATTCACAAACAAAACCCTAATTCTCCTTCAGCAGCAGCCATTGTCAACGATGTCGAAGAGAGGTAAGCTAACCTGCGTCGCTCTCGCTCCTCCTTTGATCTTGATTTGCATCTTTTACTTTTTCTTCGACATTTTTTTCAGCTGCCAAACATATCTTATGTGCATGATTCATTTTGATTGTTCGTTATTTTCGTCTGTTTAATGGAGCTGCCAAACAGATTTAATCGCATGAATCATCATGATTTGTTAGTTTATTTATGTTTTTAGGTCTAGGTTTGGATTTAGATCTCAGTGATAATTTCCTTAGGAATTTAAATTTATTGTCTTTTTAATCGGAATTTCGTATTATATTTCTTGCAATATTCGCAATGATAGTTATGTCTACTGAAATTTAGTGAAAATAAGAAGAAATTAACACAAATGAGTGGTTTGAATTTTAGTTGATGTATAACTTGGAAATGCATTTTTTTTCTTATGAATTTTGTGTAATTTGGAAACATATATTCTCGTGTAAGTTTTGTTAATAGTAATTGATAAAGAAGTTTGAAAAGGGCAGACGCTTCTGGGTTTGTGATTTCTTTTAAAGAAAAGAAACTGTTTGTGTCTGAAACTCCGAATAATGCATTATATAATTTGTTATTTTCTTGGTGTTAATAGGACGCGGAGGTTCAGCGGGCAATAAGTTCCGTATGTCGCTGGGTTTGCCGGTGGCAGCTACGGTAAACTGCGCCGACAACACTGGTGCCAAGAACCTTTACATTATCTCTGTGAAGGGCATTAAGGGTCGCCTTAACCGACTGCCGTCGGCATGTGTCGGTGATATGGTTATGGCCACAGTGAAGAAGGGAAAGCCTGAGTTGAGGAAGAAGGTTTTGCCTGCTGTCATCGTGAGGCAGCGGAAGCCGTGGAGGAGAAAGGACGGCGTTTATATGTATTTCGAAGGTTATTGCTTTAGCTTTTTTTTTTTTTTTTTTTAATTTATTTTGTTGTCAGTGATTGTTTCACATGAAGTTTTTTGAATTTCTCTGCATTAGTTTGAATATGTCGTATGCTAGGGTTATATTCGGTGTGTTTTGTTTCCTTTAATGAAATATAATAGATTTTTGGGTAGTCAAGGAAATGGACTTTTAATTGAATAACATATTTTTGATGTGATCCATTGCTTCCATTTTGTGTCTCTTCATGCCTGCTTCTAGTTCAAGACACTATTTTGTCATCTACATTTTTCAATATTCTATGACCTTAATTCATATGGAAACCCACGTGAACTTTGTATTAAATTGGTTGCTGGTTAAGTGGTATCCTGATGCGTTTGTAGCTCACTTTTTATTGGGTTATCTACGTACTATGATTTGATGCTTCTTGAGACCAGCTGGATTAAGGAATTGAATATTATATCGAGTGGGGTATCTCTTGTTATAGTATCTTGCTTTTCGCAATTTGGTACATCTTTTTCTAACTCTGTTCTGATTCCTTTTTGTCCCTGATAGTTTCCTTTAAGTCGGATTCTTGATTTGTTTTCTTAACTATTGGCATACTTAGGGTAGTTGTATAGCTGGTGATGTAGTGTGGAGGTTTACCTCTTAGGCTCGACACCTCCCATACCCAGCAATATCTGAATTACCAGCCTACCCCAATACCGGATGGTAACTTCTTATAATGATTATTATCCCTGTCAAGGTCGGGACATTAGTGTAATGTCCATTTTATCTTCTTTCACTAGTTTAACTTTTACCAGACATAAGTCAGGTATCATCCTCAACATTTCATGGTTGATACAGTTACGAGTCTGGAAAATCGATAGTGTCCATCGTTACAGGTGTGTCTTTACTTTTTCATGCTCACATCTGCTCCATTGGGGCCCTACATATTTGTTCAAGTAGTTTATTTATCAATAAGCAGAATTTAGTTTTGAAGCCTTTTATTTGTTGGTTTCTGGTTAAAAACATCAAATCAAAAGTCCTCAACTGAGATCAGCAACTAGCTTAGCAATTAGCAATGTGCATTGGGCTAGCTTTTAATTGTTTCTTTTATTATGCAGGTTATAGATGTTGTAGTTGACATTGTTATGCCCAATTAACGTTTTAGATAATGATTTTATTTGCAGACAATGCGGGTGTCATCGTGAACCCAAAAGGAGAGATGAAAGGTACGGTTGACATTAAAACCTTAACCTCGAGTTTGCTTTCCTTCAGTTGGAAAAATTATGTTCACTTGGATAATATTCAGGATTTCTGTCTCTGAAAGTTTATTTTGCTGAATCTTTATGATTTCTCATTGGTTTCAATTATTATTTTAGGCTCTGCGATTACGGGTCCAATTGGCAAGGAGTGTGCAGACCTATGGCCTAGGATTGCAAGTGCTGCTAATGCTATCGTTTAGGAGTGCCGACCTTATTTTTATTTTTCGCGTAGAAACACTTGGCTGTCGTTGTTTGTTATCCTTTGTGCGCTTTGAACCCAATTTTTGTTTTTCAAGTATGAGATTTGTTTTTCAAGAATGAAAGTTTTGTTGCAACATTGGGTTTCCCTCGGCAAATTAAGCATGTAGTTTCTTCTGTACTGTTCGGTTTTTAGCCAATTGAGAGGTTGTTCTTTTGGAGTGTAACTTGAGTGTAGTTTTTGAGTTAAATTTGAGTTATAACTTGAGTTGAAGTTAGAACTTGAATAAAATTGAGTAAAATTAAATAAAGTTGAAACTTAAAAGAACGTGAATTTGAATAAAGTTAAAATTTGAGTTGTCTTTTTTTTGAGTTTCATGCCTTGAATGTCCTAAGACTTGAGACACGTTTTTTTTTTTTTTTCCTTTTTGCAGGAGAATTTGTGTTGAAAAGTGTTGAGAATTTGAATTGAAAAGTAATTTATTTGAGGGAAAATATGTAGAAAAATAGTTGAATTTAAATTTTTAGAAAAGAAAATAATTGTGAAAGGAATGGGGCCTTTTATCTCTCAACTAAATTTGAAGTCATATTTCTTGAGCAAAAACTAACGAATGAAATCTGAACTTTGTAGCCGTGCTTTCTTTGATATAGACTGTGATTATGGACTTTGCATTTGGTTAGTAAATTTGTGTCATAATTTAAATTATAGTTCGTAATTCGTTATAATATTCTCTCACAAAAAATACACGTAAATTAAAAATAATTTTAAATTATAATTTTAAATTCATGAACTAAACGCTCAACAAAAATGAGGAATTGAAGACATGCTCAGTTCCAGAAAAGTGTGAGAGATTGGGTTCCAGCCTGAAAAGGACACATTCTGGGAAAAGAAAGAACTTTATATTCAGATCTTAGTGAGCTTAGGAGGAGATGAATGCTTTTTGTTGGGTAATTATGGCCCTCACTTTTAAGATAGACTAGTTTAGGAACGTGCTCCGTATACGTCGTTGTGTGGAATCAGCGGAGCAGTTTATTGTTTACTATCCATGCGTTTATTTAATAGGTTTGAGCTACTGTTCACCTTTTTGTTATAATATTCCCTTAAATTTATGTTCAAAACTTATGAGCCAAATGAGCTGTACATAATAAGGGAAAGAAAAAAACAATCACGGATTGATATTGGAGAGAGGAGAATGTGAAAACTATACATAACATAAAAAGGGGGAAAAAAAGGAAATAAGGTCATAGACGAAAAAAAAAAAAGAAGAATATGAAAAAAAAAAAAAAAAAAAAGAAAAAAAAAAAAAAAAAAAAAAGAAAAAAAAAAAAAAAAAAAAAAGAAAAAAAAAAAAAAAAATGACGAGGGAGCAACATGCGGAGAATCATGGGGATTAGAGCAAAAAAACTCACACCGACACTTTCTAAGTAGAATAGATAGATTTTTTTTTTCTAAGAAAAACACGCCAAAAAAACTGTAAAAACACGTGAAAAAGAATTATACTGTACGTCAGTTTTTGACAAAAAAGGAATACGAAAAAAATAACATTAAGACGTATATAAAATAAATTATTTTAATAGGAGTAAAAATAGGAAAAAAAATAATTTCAAAGTACATCATAAAAAGATTAAACTGTATTAGCATCTGGCAAAAAGAAAAAAAAAATAGAGGAAAAAAATCAGTAATAAGATTAGTAAAAAAAAAAAAAGGCTAGGATTGAAATGCAACAAAAGGAGCAGCGTAGAAGAAATTATTTTAAGAGAACAGTAGGAAATGTGAAAAGTAAGAAGTGTTGTTTTAACTGTTAAATTAAAGATATCATCAGTTTGTTTTGTGAGTGTTTGTTGACGCATGATTTCGTATCAAGCATGACAAAAGTCCAGGTCCAAATCTTCGCGTCTCGTGACGCTATGGGCTTGCTTCGTAGACCTAATTCACGCTCAGAGAACTCGCGTGGGTCGTGATTTGCTGGGCCATATGTGATAAAGTAAACCCATTTATCATTTAATTCGATCTGATTTGAATCCTGCTTAGAGAGTTTTCACAATTATCGAATTAAGTTTAAATTGGAGATGGAGAATTCCCAAAATGCCCTACTCTTATCCTTTTGAATGCCCAATAACCCAAAGCCTATGCCTTAGAATCCTCCTCACTTGCCAAGGTTCGAAACTCGTTGTTTCGACTCCAATGGAGGCTTCATCCGCGCTAAGATGTGCCTAATAGAGCTGCTCTTCGTGTCAGAAATTTTCTTGAGACGTCCTTTGTTCGGGCCGGGCATGCCTAATAGAGGCTCTCTCCGTGGCAGGCATGTCTGTCGGAGAATTTCCTTGTGACCTGATTAGTGCATGAAAATGCACCCTAAATATTACTTTTGATTTATAAAATATTAAAATATTTAAGATTTAATTAAACAATTCCATTATTTTTATTAAGAATATTTTTAATTGGAATTTGTCTATTTTTGCTTAATTATTGCAGATGAAAAGCATCCTAAAAAGCTACACAAGAAGAAGCCATGAAAGTCATATTTTTAGCCAATCCGAGCCACACAAGCCGAGCCAATCAGAGAGAGAGACACACCACCCTTCAGTCTAGCCAAATGAAGTGGGCCCCAGTTGTCAAACGCGTTCCCCAACCTCTCCACGCGGGCGTCACCAGCACTGCACAGCTACCAGGGCGCGTCTACTTAACGCGCGATCAGGAGGGCGTTTCAGCTTGGTTTCTCGTGGGTCCCGCGTGCAGCGTGCCAGTCGAATCTCTCTCCAACGCGTAACAGCTGTCTCCCGCCACTGTTCAACACCAGCACACTTCTTCCTCTCCGCGCGTGAGACGTGGAAATTTAATCCACTTCCTCCGACCAAGCTTTGACACGTGTCTTCTAGGTGCTGAGTCTGAATTTCTACTTCAAAAGCAGAGCAAATGGCTAGATTTCTTCCTCAAATCATTTATATGATTTCTCTTAATTTATGTGTAATTTTATTTTGTTTCCTTTTATCTTGTCATTCTCCATTTTTGATTATTTGTTTCCTTATTTGACATGTAATCTCTGAACACTATAAATAGGGGTTAGCCTAAGGTTTTTGTAAGTTTTTTTTATTCAGTTTTCCGTCGTCTTGCTGCCAGTCTCATATTTTCTCTCTAGAACTTATGAGAATATTTTGCAAACTAGGCTAGAGTTCTCTTGGTGAGGTTAGAGATGAACTTTTGTTGAGTGACCCAATTTGGACTTTTGATTTTTTGTGCTGTAAAGTTCAATATCTGAATGAATTAAATCTCATCTATCTTTTATTTACTTTTCAAAATATTGTGTGCCAATTTTTATATAAGTTCAGTCATGTTTTTCTTATGTAATTCTGTCACGCATTGTTTTGTTATTCAAATTATTTTGCGAGTTGTCTTTTACTGCAATATTGTCAATTTGACATGTTGTTGATTTTGGATAACTGGTAATAATAATCTTTGTGATTTTAATGTAATGATTTAATTTACTCGATACTTCTATTTGTGAATCAAAACTTGAATTGGTGAACGAAACATAAGGGATTCTCAACGCCTCACTGTTTTTACTACAAAATTTCCTTCATACAAATTTTCTCATTTTTATTTTATTTGCAACAAAAATCTCAAAAACTCTTATTTTTCTTTAATTTACTTGTTATTTTATTTTTCTCTAATGCTCTTATTCTGCTAATCTTTCTTGTTTATTTTGTTACCTCTTTGTGGATACGACTGCCCTTCTGTGCTACAATTGACCGCTTGTGAACAACACTTTTGGGCGTTAATCATGACCATATATGCCTAACGGAGCCGTTCTATGTGCCAGGCATGCCTCCTTTGGACTTCCTTCTCGTCAAGCTCACCTGACGGAGTAACTTCATTCAGAGCAAGCTTTTGTGTTAGAGCACACACAATGGCTGCTTAATCATACTTGCACAAACCATTTCTGACAAGGTCTGATATGCGATCAAGCCTGCAAAAGTGGAAGTCAAAGGAGCACAAAGTTGAGTCAAACACCTTTGAGAGTTTTAGACTTGGGAAAGCTCCCAAATCTAAAACTTAGCCTCTAAGTCTTTCCATTTTCAGACTTGTTAGCTCCGAGAAGGTAACTGAGATTTTACTCTAAGTAGGATGGCGTGTTCAGGGTTCCATCAGAATGCCATCGATCTTTCTTCAGAGTAAATCTCTAGCACCTTCTATTCCATTTTTGGTGAGTCATTTTGTCAATTTCGGAAAGGTAGCTGGGATTTTGCTCCGAACAAGATGGCATGTGCAGGGTTCTATATGAGCACCATTTTTTTTCCTCTGCAGTGAATTCCCAGAACCTTTCATTCCATTTTCGCCAATCTCTTTTTCAACTCTAAAAAGGTGCAGATGGGTTTGCTTCATTAAGGTTGTGTGTGCAGGCCTCTGTCAGAGCACGTTCTATGGATCTCCGAAGTTGCCGTTAAAATGCCACCATTTCATTTATAAATACCCCTCATCTTCCCCATTGCAACACACCACAACAACACCATTACAATCTTTGAGAGGCCATTATCTACTCTTGAAAACTCTATTATCTCTCAGATTTCCCTCTCATTTTGAGCATATTCTTCAAGTCTTTTGTTACAAAAACTCAAAGTTCTTCAAGTTCTTGAGGTGTTGTATAGTTTCTTAATGTTGACAGCCTCAGAAACTCCTTAAGAACTCTCGTCGATCCTTTTCCACCAATCATCCAAGAGTGTTCAAAGTTTGTTCATACTTTTTCCAGAAACATTCTTACCTTCTTCCTTGGAGCTACTTTCGCTCACTGTCGGAGCAAGTGCTCTAAACGACATCTTTGCTCTTGGAGAAACCCGCATATGCTCTCAGAGGGTCTCCTCAACAGATCCTTATCCACCTCCACGAGTCACATCTCGCCCTTCATCAAGCCTTATCCACCACACGGGTCACCCTTTTTCGCTCTTGGAGCAGCCTGTGTTTGTCATTACTTCATTAAGGCCCTATGCAACCTTTGAATCTCCTCTCTAATAACTACTTGATCACTCCTCCCAACACATTTCATCTTTGTAGTTCCTTAGTTAAATTTTTTGTGAGTTCTCTAACATTTTTATAGGGTCATTTTTGTCATTTGGCAACGAAGCGGACCTTAGGATCTATTTCCTTCAGTTCTCTTCGGGCCTAATTGACCCCACTTCTCCGGC